TGCTCCTTTGGATTTTATACCTTAATAAATATTACCTTTAATTTAGTCGTTATACTTAGAAATTATATCATTTAATTATTATACATACTATTTTTAACATATTTAATCCAATCATTTTAGATACAAAAGAACTAAAAAGAAATTAAATTTTATCTACTGGAATTATAAGAAAATTAAAATGGATAATTAGAGACTAAAATGTAAAGTTTGTTCAGATATGAAGACTAAATGATTTATAAAATTTATTTTTAAAATTTGTAAGAAGAGGATTAAAATGGTACATTTTTTAGATTAAAACTTTAACTATAATAAAGATTAAAAGGTAAAATTTGTAAAACTAAATAAGTAAAACTCACTTTTAATATGGTTGAAGTTGGTATTTTAGACCTCAAATCCCCTGTTTCTTCCTGCTGTTTCACTTTTGAAAACCACATATGTTTTGTATCATTGTCGATTCACTTTTTGACCAGAAATCATAACTCTCAAATATACATGCAATAGGCACACTTTATTGTAACTTGATCCTTGTGGATACCATTCATTTTCTTATCCTTTTATAAAATTTCTACCCCTCTATTTAGGGTGTTCCTCCCTACACCAACACAAATCTCTTCCTGCACCACCCCATTCCACAATTGCCCCTGAAAATTAAATTACCGTAATTAAAACGTTAACAAAAACGGAAATGAAAGATCAACATCCGTAGGCACAACCAAACGGATATGAATATCCGTTTAGACCTCCAGTTTTTTTTGTTTTTTATGCAGTAAAACACACAACTTTTTTTTAATAAGGTTTTAGTAGTTAATGAATCTTTTTCAGTTTTTTCACATACCAGCGCACACATTATATATATATATATATAAGGGAAAGAGAAGAAGAAGGGGGAGGGTGGTGGGTGTGAAGGTGGGTGACGGAAATGAGAAAGAGAAGAAATGGGAGGTGGTGGGTGTGAAGGTGAGTGAGGAAAATGGAAAAGAAAAGGAGAAGAGGGAGGGGGGCATGGGTGTGAGGGTGGGTGATGAAAATGGAAAAGAGAAGGAGAAGAGAGGAGGGGGGGTGGTGGGTGACGGAAATGGAAAAGAGAAAGAGAAGAGAGGGGGGAGGTGGTGTGTGCTGGAATGAGGGTATAGAATTAGGATTTTTAATTAAAAATATAAAAAGTTAATTTAAAAGTAAAAAGAAAAATTAACTTAAGGATAATTTTGGGAAAAAAGTAAATTGAGGAGGTACTGGAAGAAGACAGTGGTGGTGGAGGGAGCATCTTTCCTCTATTTATTATTACAATTATTATAACAATTTCTTTTTTAGTAACAATATTTCTCATTTTTTTATTTTATAATAAAAGAGGATGTGAGTTCAATTTTCTCTCTGTGGCATTACTTTTCAACAAAAATTGACCACACAAAGTACACCAATTTTAATTATTGAGATGAAATATACCATTAAGAAAACTTTGATTGGCAAACAATTTTATCTCAGTTTTATCCAAATAACTATTTTGGTAAATCGTTTCATACTTTTTACAGCGAAATGTATCAAGAGGCATGTGAGGCTTTGTTTTGGTTTAACTTTTCTAACTACACAATAATCTTCATACACAATAAACAGGACAACTACTGGCAAAGCATGGTGTAGTGTTTAACGATGATGTAAGAACCCCAGACGGTAATTTAAAACCCTTATTGGAATAATAAAGTATCTTGGCCACTGATGATGGAAGAACCTCAAATGCTCTCTCCACGTACAAGCAATCGTTACAAGATGTCTAACAAAATGTTTGAACAACTAAGAATACATTTCAAAAATGTTTGAACAACAAGAAAAACATTCGTAACTTAGGGTTCCAGATTTGCTTCTCTTTTCCAGTTAAAGGAGAAGTGTTCTTAGAATCTTCGACTATGGAGGTAGAACCTTCGACATTTCGGTGATGGTAGAGTGCGGCAAAGCCTTCGATAGCAGCGAGTCTTCGATAGCGGCGAACCTTCGACAACGGTAACCTCGACAGCAGCGAACCTTCAACAACGGTAACCTCGGCGGCAGCCTTCAACAGCGGCAACCTTCAACAGCAGCACCGAGTGAGTGGGATGAACGGGATGTAAAGCAAAAAGCAAATTAAGCCGTGATTGGGAAAACTGATATAAACTTAAATTGTAGTTAACTGCACTGAATGTAAAATAGTTCAGTATTTTTAAAATGTATTATTAATTAGTTTAATTAGTTTTTAGTTAACTGTATTATTAGTTTTTTAAGTTTAAAGAAGTATGGATTAACTATAGTTTAAGTATTTTAAGTTAACTCTCAGTCCTAGTTATATTTTGCAGGTTATTTTATATTAACATGCATTAATAATTTTGTCATTTGAGTTCAATTAAACAAAACCAGGTTTGATGAAAGATTTAGAGCCTTAATGAATTGGTTAATTAAGGTTTGAGTTTGGTTAAAAGACAGTTTCACGTTAGTGTCCGTGGTATTTGGAAAACAATGTCCCTTTTGAAAGATACATACACACATGAACACGTTTTAGGTGTAACAACTAATGATGATTATTGCAATCCTTAAAAGGAACTGTATGGAAGTGTTGTTCGTGCAATTCAAAATTATGATAATAATTTTTTTGTCTTCAATAACAAAAAGACAAAAGAGATTCAATCTTAAATCTGTCATATATGTAATATAACTTTCATCATATTGCTCAATGCAACTTCATACAACTTTTCCAAGTTCAGTATCAGAACTTTCAAATACCTTTAAATCATTATTTTTTTAAGAAACCATAAGAGAAGAAGAAAAGAAAGGACAGAGAAAATGATGAAATAAATTAGTTTTTTTAAGGAGAAAAATGAGCTTATATATTAAAGTGATACAACTAATAAAGATAAAAAATTATTATTATTATAATTATTAAATTATTAAATATGAATAATTCTTATAACTTATTATAAGTAGTTTTTATTTATTTTGTAGATAGTTTTATAGTTAAAAAATGGTTAAATTTTAAAAAATGTCAAACGAATTAAATTTTTCTAAAAAATAAATACTTAAAGAGTAAAATTAATAAAATAATTATTTTAATTTTAAAAAAAATCATTTAAAGAATAAAATTGAAAACCAACTATAGAAAAAAAAAAGGAAATTCTTCATATATATTTATGAGTTTTATGTTAAGATTTAACAATACTATTAAAGGTCAAATAGAAAAATAATTTACATATAGAAAATGTCATTTGTACATTTGTTATGGATTAATTTAGTATTAAAAAAGATTTTTTTTAACTAGTTGATAAATATTACAAGTATTATCAACCAAGTCAATGAATATACTTTATGCAAATAATATAATTATTGAAAATAAAATATTGAAAACAAAAGGTTTTCAGATGTTTCTTTTTCAACTGTAATAACTACCACTGCTGCTGTTGCTAAATATATTGACAATTTCTGCCCCACCGTTTAATACATGATTGATTTGGTGAACTATTATCACAAATCACTGTAGCATATGATTTAATTTTCAGCCACAATTTATAATTTGGTATCAGATAATAATAATTGGTTGCTGATAACAAGAATAAAAATAATTGCTCCAATTGGTTGCAAGTGATTCTGTGTGACCATTCCTAGTACTTGTTATCTCAGGTGCTAATTTAACCAATCATTAAATTAGTTGCTAATTATATTATCTGTTATGATGTGAATATACAGTTGAATATAGCTAGTTTTGTTAGTTGCAAAACTATTTTTAAATAACATTCAACTTTTTTATATTTATTTCATATAAATAAGACAATTTAAGTGTTAATCTAACTTAAATAGTACTTTGATATTAAACAAAGTGATAAATTGGGATTATTAAATATATATTTGAAGTATTGTTTATTTTAAAGTTTAAAACTATCTTATCATTTTTGTTTTTTAAAAGAACAATAATATTTTAATAATTTTTTTTAATAATTTTTTGATGATAGATTATGTGTACTGTTTTATTGATTGGTATATTTAAAACTGACCAAAAAGTTGTTTAAAAAAAGTTGTTAAAAGGATATTTTTCTCTTAAAAAATATCTTGAAAGTGAAAAATATATTTAAAATTTTTAGAGTGGATATGTGAAATTATTAAGTATAAGAAGAATAGGTAAAAGTAAGAAAGTTAATTACATACATGAGATAGACCCGTATATTTATTGTAAAGCTTTCACTTGAAAATAATATCTTTCTAACGAGAATTCTCTCTAAAAATATAGAATCTATCAGTAGTATATTTTCTTAATGAGAATTTGCTGAAAAAATAAAGAATCTATGAATGAGATAATATAGATGGTTTTGAATAGAAATTGATATAATTTTTTAAAATGTGAAGTTTTAGGCCTTGTTTACTTGAATGAATTTGGGGGAGAGTAATTGAAAAAATTTGACAGGATTTAGAGGTAAATTTTGTTGTTGTTTATTTGAGTAAATTTGGAGGTAAGTGAGAATGAATTTGAAAGTAAAGTTTGTGAGAATTAGTGTAGGATTTGATTGACGTGACAAGATTAAAAAAATTTATTTCCAAATCACTCTCGTTTATCTCCAAATTCACTCAAATAAACAACAACAAAAATTTACCTTCAAATCCTCTTAATGATTCTCTCCCAAATCCATTGAAGTTAGGAAAGATAATCAGTGTTGAGTGATTCCCTTACAGAATTATGAGATAAGTGTATGGTTGTACTGTGTAGAAGGTGTTGATGCATGGGCCTTGGTGTGCATGATATTGTATGGAAGTTGAGTGACTCTGCATGAGGGACGGTGAGATAAAAAAAAGACATGAGAGGCAATTTGAGAGGACCACCTTATACCCTTTGTTACACATACATAGGCTTTCCATTTAAAACACGACAAGACCTCACAACAACATCCCAAATACCACACTGTAACCATTATTATATAACACGTATACATGCTTTCTTATATATATATATATATATATACGTTATCAGAAGCACAACATCTCTAACATCCATGGCTTCTATCTTTTCAACAAAACATTCTCATGGCTATGCCATTCGATCCATAAGCTTGCCAACCAGATCACATCCAAACACACTTCGAATTGAAGAAGAGCTCAACAAGCTCAAATCATGGGAGGTTTCGTCTTCATCGGAAGTGGAGAGAATTTTCTTTGGTCTCTCAGGCCTTGCAGAGTTGTACAAGTGCATGGAAGATCTTTTGAAATTGCCACTCACCCAACAAGCACTGTCTCTTGATCAAAACCAAAAATGGGTGGATGAGCTGCTAGATTGTCCAGTGAGATTCTTGGACATATTGGGAGAAACAAGGGATGCCATGATGCTGATGAAGGGAAATGTTAGAGATTTTCAATCAGCACTCAGAAGGAGAAAAGTTGAAGACTTGGTGATTCAAAACCATGTGTATTCATATTGGAGTCTGAGAAGAAACACAAGGAAACAATGTACGAAATATCTTGTTTTGTTGAAGAACACTGCTGAAGGGTCGTCATTTGGGGCATCTCCTCCTTTGGATCTGAATCAGCATCTTTCAGCAGTTGTGAGGGTTCTGAGAGAAGCTAGCTTGATCACCAGCTGCATATTTCAGTCACTTATGTCGTTTCTTTCTTCACCAATCTTAAGGTCAAAGGTGACTAACAAGTGGAGATTTGTGTCAAGAGTGATGATGAAAGGGAGACTTGTTCAAAATGTGAATGAATTGGAAAAAGTGGACTTGGCACTTTGCAGAATGTTGATGGATAATCCAGCCAAAGATTTTGAAGTTGAAAATATTCAATTTGCACGTAAAGAGCTTGACGATGTGCTCGTAGTCATTGAAGGGCTTGAAAATGGATTGGATTGCTTGTTTAAGCACCTTATTAACACTCGAGTATCTTTTCTTAATTTAGTGTCTAACTAAGGTAAAATATGATACACAAACAAGTTAACCTTATTGACTTTTTTTTATCAGCAATTTCATTTTTCTTTTTTCTGTTTTCTTCCCTCTCTTTTAGCTTTACATTATTATATTTCTTGCAATTTAAACAAGAACCATGTAAGTGGTGGTATTACTTTGCTGACAGGATTAAGAGGAATAGAGAAGTATATCAACATGTAATTAAACTTTCAAAGCAAACTCTTCTAGAAGAAGAAGTTATTAGTGTTTTTATAGAATAAGGAGCCTTCACTATAAATTGCATAGAATAATGATACTATAAAAATAAAGGAAATTCCTCTCATTATCCAGTGTTTATATCATCATTATTAAATTTGGATACGGTCTGTCTGTTAATTATCTATCATGTGGATGTGTTTTTAAACCTGAGTTTAATCTATCCGAAAGTTTTGATTAACTAGCTTAAAATAATCAATATATCATATCATCATATAAATTATTCTTTATTTTATGAAGAATAATATTTACAAAAGTAAGAAACTTTTTAAAATGATTGTATATTAAAAATGGACAAACACAACATGTACAAAAAGTTTGAATCTTTTCCTAGAATAAAAAAAGAAAAAATAACCTAAAATAATTAAGCAATAAAAAACTTATATAATAAGGGAAAATTCCTTTAAATCATGAACATTTATACCCATAGGTTGAACTATCATTCTATTAACCACTGTAAATAATCACTCTCTCTGTCCAAAAAACATAATAATTTAATCTTTAAAAATATCTTAGTAAAAAAAAATATAATAACTTAATTAGTTCAGATAAATTAAATTTATCTAATATAATATATATATATATATATATATATATATATATAAATCTTAAACCATTCAATCTATTTGAACTGGAATGAGCACTTAAAATATGCTATTATGCACAGTTAATTCCTGAATATTATTTGTTTTCTCATTACACACATAATTATTAGAACAGGAGCACTGAAGAAGATGGGATGTGTGACAGTTTTGGAACTAAAGCTACTGGTTACTCAACCACATATTCAGGAAAACTGATGGATTTAGCAACAAGTACACAACAAGTGCAAGAGTGCTTGCTGAGCAAAATGTGGCAAGACTTCAAACTATATGCATTTCATCATATAGCTGCGAACAGTTTCTTCAACTACCAACTTGGACTGTGACTACAAAATATTAGTGAAGTTGGGGAGAGGATGGGAAAGGATAGTGCATTTAATGAATAAGGAGTGTTTGATATCATATATTTTTATGAATAGGGGACCAAATAGACTCAAATAGGCCTCAGTTTGGACAAGATCCATTCAAGTTGGATGCTCTAGGAATACATACGATTTGGTGTAGTACAAACTTGCATCATTTCTGTAATTATCTAATGTATTCACATTACTTTTATGGATTGCAATTGTAAATATATACTTGTAACTTACACAGTAATGCAAAAGACATCTCTATTTATAATTAGTGATTAGTGATATATCGCTTTATTTTTCACACTCCCACATATCACAATTTCAATCAGCTCAGGGCTGAAAGTGTTAGTATGCATAAAGACTGGGATTCATATTATGTTTCTACAGCAAAAATGTATATTTTACTGTTTTCTCATACTATGTTTCAGCCTTCTATAGACATCTTAAAAAAACAAAAGATAAACTAAAGATAAAATTATATATTTTATAATTATTGACAAAAAATAGATACAAAATGAAACAATATTTTCTTAAATCATCCATGCCCATTTCTCGACTATTTTCTATCTACTTTTTTTTTATAATAAAAATGGACACTAGGTTACATGATGAAAATTTAATCAACAAATGTATGGCGATGTTTACCCACGTATGTAACTAAGAATGTCAGAAATCATTCGCCGGAGGAATTCTCCTCACTATCTTCCTCGTATATGTGATATTCTTCGTCGCTACCATTTGTTTGCAGGTTGGCACCATCAACTTCATTATGCGGAAAGCTACCAAAAAGTTCCTGTAAATGAGTCCTTGAAAAATTCTCAATGTTGGTATCTGAACATTGTAAGGGAGTTCAAAAAGTGACAGTTGAGAGCCTTGAGGAAACCTAACTTACACGATAAAAATCCATCTTCTTCTCTTAACACGTACCAATCTAATAGCTTAACAATGAGAAACATATCTTCTATGTGCAAAATTTTAAAAAACATAATTGCGGTAGTATGTATGAATAATATAATTATGAATTTTTAGTTCTTTAAATAACTAAATTTGGAGTTGAAATAGAAAAGGATACACGACTGAGACTGCAGAGGAATTTGAATATCTCCAGCCTACATGTGTCAACAACATAAAAGTCATCACTAACCCAATCTAATGACAAAACATAAAAGCATAAAATAGATAGAAAAAAAAATCACCAGATCAAGTTCTTCTTCCCATTCTTCTTCACTATCGTTACCCTCAGCTGCCTCCTCTTCTTCATCTTCAGCATTGTCAAGTTCTTCATGCTCTTCCAAACCTGTGTCCAAAACACAAATTTTTTCATCGATAATTTCTTAGTCATATTAAACAACAAATTAAAAAAACAAAAATTTGTTCCAACAACATTAATAAAGTCTGATACAAATAGCCATTTGAGGAAACAAATTAAGAAAACTTTGGCTCGGAAATACCTGAAAATAATTCTCCCTTACAAGTTTCAATCAATAAATATTCATAAATATGTAGGGGCTTCTTAAGAAATAGAAGTGTAATAACTAATAAAAGGCTAGGAACTAGACAAAGTTTAAAAGGGGATTTAATTATTCTTCTTACATCATATTATTATATGTGGAATTATTCCGTTGGCTCTATTAAATACTAAAGCAATATCAATAATAAATATAAATAATTGTGGGAAAAGAAAAAGAAAAAATAAATAAAAGGAGAACCTAAATTAGGTTGTTGGCATTCTTCTTCATCGAGCTTCATGGCATGTCTGTAGCTCTCCCTCCTCAATTTTTCAAACTTTGAAATAGCAGCTTTGTGTAAACTCTCACCACCAGGTTTGGGAAATACCGATAGGAATCGCACCATAAGACGTTGTCTGATACAATTGATCATGTGTTGTGAGAACCAACCAGTTGCATACTGCAAGTGTAGCATTTTAGATCTAACTTAGTTAATGAGATTTCTCATAACTTCAAGCATGAAATATTAAATCAAGCCTCTTTTTTTTGTTATCTTCTGTGGCATAAATTACACAACAATTCGATATGCACAAATTTCAGAGTAAAACAATATTATATGGAATAAATATTCTACTCCTTGATTGCTAAAGCAAAAAGGAAAAATGAACAATTCCACATCATTCATAGAGAAGCCGTAAGGGACTATGCTACGCAATAGGAAAAATATGAAACACGTAAATGCACAGTAGCAAGTAAAGCATGCTTGTCTATTAAAAGTCAGGCGATATCAAGTGTGTCAGCACAAAATGTGAGTATGTCTGCACAAAATGTGCAGCATAATTAGCGAGATATTAAATAAGATTTCATATAAAAGAAGTACAGTGCAAGTTGTTCGGAGTGGAGGCTTCTTTATTTCTGATTGAATATAATCATCAACAAGGTCAAAAAACTGCAAGGAAGTCTGGAACTTGTAAGGGAAGACACGAAAAGCACATATATCCTCCCATTTATGTTTTGATCTGCATGAAATAATAGCCCTTTCAAATGAGAAACAACTTAAATAGCAAGATAATAACGAATGAGAAAACAACTTAGTGGCAAAAACCAGATATGTTATATCAACCTAGAGGTCAGCAAATAAATTTAATTGTGATTGTAGTAAATTCCAGAGATCTCTTTCTCTTCTCTTCACTTTTGTGATTCCAAATCACAGTCAACAGCGTTGTTAACATAGAAAGAGATAAAGTGAAGAAAAAGACTTACTTATTGGCTGAATGAGCATCACAGTAACTTCGTAATGGGACAGGTACTCGATAATCGATTCTTTGATAACTGCTAAACCAAAAGGCTAAATGTAGTCAACAGATTGAAAATTCAAATTTATTGAACAAAGTACAGCAAACAAAAATTCACTGAAAAAATACTTGACGGAATGAAGATTGTGTGTTATTAAAACCTTGGTAAAAAATATATAAATTCATATTTGAAGATTCAATGTTATAGGCAAATATCATAGGAAGCTCATGGATAGTTGATCAATTATGAACCAGAACGGAATCCGAAACCAGATTAACAAATAAGCCATCCAGTTTATTCATATCGGTGCGAGGGACTCCTAAGAAGAGGCATGGAACAAAAAATAGATAATCTATAGAAAGAATCCTCGCCCTGATCTGATATAAAATCTGAAAATAGAACTTGAAAAGGGATTAAAGCTAAATACACCAAAAGTAGCATATATTTAGCTAGAAAGCCAACTCATCTTGGTCTTACCAAAACCTGTGAAGCTCCTAAGGACAACTGATCCTAGTTCAGAGGGTACACCCCTGGAGCACATGTTTCTTACTCCTGTTGTATTTTACTGTTCTGATAGATACCACCAACAAGTCATTGGTCGTTGCCTCACAAAACTGAAAGAGGAAGTCAATGAGGTAGTTGCAATGATGGCTGTAATCGTGATCTCAGCGTCGGTTCATTTTGTGCCTAGGTGTTACCAAACTAAGGTGAATTGCTGTACTGTAGGGACCAACATAATGGCTCTTAAGCAAATTACAAAGTAGTAATAAATTCTAGGTAAAAAGTAAGACTAGGTAAAAAGGCTTGAATTAAGGCCATGCAAGCACCTAAAGTAAAGGCACAATTTTCCACACAAAAAAAACCCAAATTTTATGATATGCCTTTTTAAACCTAACATTGTACAATATTGAAAATTCAAAGCTAATACTCTAAACTAGCTGGAAATTCCAGGTCATACTACCCTACATCGTCCATCAACCATCATTGAGAAAGTTAACGAAAAAGGATTAGGTTAAGCTAGACAGACTCAAAATGAGGAAATAGGAAACCAAATGGAATGAAAAATAATAAATTAGATTTTGTCATCATTTTGAAAGAATAATACAATATTTTGCCATACTACCAAACACCTTTTTAGTGCAAATGCATAACTAGAATCCAAGGCATTATTTAGAATTTATAAAGTAAGTCTCACATGCGAGAATTGGGATCCTTGCGTGGATCATATCCTTTCTTGATCCAGAACCTCAGAAACGGGCCACTGGAAAAGTAATAAGAAATTCTAGATAGAAGCCTGCAAGAAAGAACAGATGGTCACTCGCAATTCAATTATTAGAATTTCCAAAAGCTAATCCCCTGAATTTACTTCAGTCACCTTCTGAGCATGCCATGCGAAAAGCTTAAGCCCTTCTTGTGCAAGCGTTCAGTAAGAGAATTTTTGGACCATATAGGTCGCTCATCAAACATTCCAGATACAACCATCTGTAACTCCCACTGATCTGAGCCTTGTGGTATGTATTCCTCCCAATTCACTTTCTTAGGAATATGTAGGATAGCTAAGGAAATATAGAAGCACAAAGTGCAAATTGCACTAAGATCTATTTATTGGAAAACTTTTTCCAAAATTTTATTCAAAAAGTGAAGAAATATCAACAAAGAGAAAAACTATAAAATTTATATAAAATTTAAAATAAAAATTAATGGGTCCAAATAGGAAAATACACTGAACATGCAGCAATAGTGAGATACTAAATAATAGTATTAATTTGCAAGTACTTTGTTGATATTGGCAATGTGCTAAAATTAATCAAGAAGGGTTCAAATGTATACTATAAAAGCAATTTAGAAAAAAAAATACACTAAAAGGAGCTAAAACGATAAAAATAGGCCTAATATAATCAAATAGAACTTTATAACTTAAATAAGTTTGAAATACGATGATTCTACCAATTGATAAAAGGATATCTTTAATATCAAAATCAAGTGCAAGGACTGGCTCCATCTCCATGTCCATCTGCACACATCACAAGGAAAGTTTTTCTTAAAATAATGCATATGACCGATGACAGCAAAGCAAAAAATTACACAATTCATTTTAATTCTTTTTAATGTATATGTCACCTAGTATCCACAGATTTTCATTATAGATATTTTTCATTATTGCCAAAAATAAATGACAAATTAACAACTATCACCATGGAAAAAAAAACTGTCATTTGATTTCAGTAA